CACACACAACCACTAGACCCCCCCCGCTCCCCTTTTAGTTTTTAGGCTTGCTCGCCTCCTCTATCCACCCCACCCCCTCCATCTGTCCATCCCTTTGCTGCAGGTTTTTGGGGTGTCACCTCTGCTCTGCACTCCCCCAGTGCAGCCCAAGGCCATCCCTCCCCCCAACCACATATCCTCTTCCCCCTGGTGCTGGATCATCTGCTTGGCCCCCCACTCCCTCTCGGGGCACACTGTGCGGCATGGCTGGGGCTTGTGCAACGGTCCAGCACCAGGCAATGCAGAACGGAAACCACAGGCCCTGCCCAGCCCCACCCCACCCAAGCTGCCCTCTAGGTGCATCGGAGTCCAGCGCCCCACACCTGTGCCCTCCTTCGCCACAGGGGGTGAGCTGCAGCCCCCATCACATTCCACAGATGGGCGAAGGGAATCCGTAGCGTAGCTAAGGGGGGTGCAGGGGAAGCAGCTGCTTCCCCTGAGGACATTTTCCAAAAGCTGCGCCTTTCTGTCAGCCAGCACTGGGCTTCAGACTCGAAGTCCGGAGCCGGGTTTTGCGTGCGGCTGCCAGCTTGCTCTCGGCTCCGCACCGCCCTCCTCCCGCATCCCCAGCCCTGCTCGCTCACTCCGGGGCTGCAGGCAGCTTCAGCTGGTTGCCTGGCTCCCCGGGGATGAGGAGGAGGAGGCTCCCGGCAGATCCCCTTAACCCTAGGCATTAGACAAACCTTCCTACAGTCTTCCTAGGGAGGACGTGTGAGAGTTTGCAGCAGCCACAGCCCAGGGAGGGAGGGGTGGCACTCTACTGTTGAAAAATGTTGGAGACACGTTTTCTCCCAGCAGTAATTTTCAACCTGGTCTTTGGCCTGGGCTGGACTCTGGCTTTCTGGCCACTAGGAAAACCAGCTTCCTAGAGATGTTTGTCCATGATGCTTCTAGGCTCTTGCTCATGAGGAAAAATTAGATTTTTTTTCTCAAATCGGTAAATGTCAGTAATCGTAGATTTCATCACACATGC